GAAAAAGGCAGTACAAGAATAGAAAAAAGCAGACAAATATTTTCATGAAGACACGAACATCCTCAAACGGTATTAGAAAATCAAATCTAGTAATATATAAAAAGAACACCCTACAATCAAGTGGGTTTTAAATTGGGAATGCAAACCTGGTCCAATATTCAAAAGTCACTCAATGCAATCCACCACATAGTCAAAAGAAAAGAAATCATATGATTTTATCAATTGATGCATAAAAGGCATTTGATGTAAATGACGAGTTGATGGGTGCAGCAAACCAACATGGCACATATATACCTATGTAACAAACCTGCATGTTGTGCACACATACCCTAGAACTTAAAGTGTAATAATAAAAAATAAAATAAAATAAAATAAAATAAAAGGCATTTGACACAATTTAAAATTCACTCATGATAAAAACCTTTCCACAAACTAGAAACATTAGGTTGGTGCAAATGTAACTGTGGCTTTTGCCTTTAAAAGTAACAGCAATTGCATTTGCACCAACCTGATAGAAGGAAACTCACTCAACCTGATAAAGGGCATCTACAGAAAACCTATAGATAATAATACTTTTTAAAAACTTTTATTCTGCCAGGCATGATATGGCTCATGCCTGTAATGCCAGCACTTTGGGAGGCCAAGGTGGGGGCGGATCACTTGAGGTCAGGAGTTCGAGACCAGCCTGGCCAACATGGTGAAACACTATCTGCACTAAAAATACAAAAATTAGCTGGGCATGGTGGCACATGCCTATAATCCCAGCTATTTGGGAGGCTGAGGCAGGAGAATCACTTGAACCTGGGAGGCAGGGGTTGCAGTGAGCTGAGATCGTGCCACTGCACTCTAGCTTGGGCGACAGAGCAAGACTCCATCTCAAAAAACAAACAAACAAAACAAAACAAAAACACCTTTTAAGTTCAGGGGTAAAAATTCAGGTTTGTAACACAGGTAAACGCGTGTCATGGGAGTTTGTTCTACACATTATTTTGTACGTTATTTCACCCAGGTGTTAAGCCTAGTACCCATTAGTTGTTTTTCTTGACCCTCTTCCTCCTCCCACCCTCCACCCTCTGATAGGGCCCAGTGTGTATAGTTCACCTCTAATGTGTCCATGTGTTCTCATCATTTAGCTTCCACTTACAAGGGAGAACATGCGGTATTTGGTTTTCTGTTCCTGCGTTAGTATGCTAAGGATAATGGGCTCCAGCTCCACCCATGTCCCTGCAAAGGACAAGATCTTGTTAATTTTTATGGCTGCACGGTATTCCATGGTGTATATGTGCCACATTTTCTTTATCCAGTCTATCATCGATGGGGATTTAGGATGATTGCATGTATTGTGAATAGTGCTCCAATGAACATACATGTGCATGTGTCTTTATAATAGAACGATTTTTATTCCTTTATTCTTTTATTCCCAATAATGGGATTGCTAGGATGAATAGTATTTCTGTCTTTAGGTCTTTGAGGAACTGCCACACTGTCTTCCACAATGGCTGAACTAATTTACACTCCCACCAACAGTGTTTAAGCATTCCTTTTTCTCCACAACCCTGCCAGCATCTGTTATCTTTTGACTTTTTAGTAATAGACATTCTGACTGGTGTGAGATGCTATCTCATTGTGGTTTTGACTTGCATTTCTCTAATGATCAGTGATGTTGAGCTTTTTAAAATATGCTTATGGGCTGCATGTATGTTCTTTTTTAAAAACTGTCTGTGTCATTTGCGCACGATTTTATGGGTTTTTATTCTTGTAAATTTGTTTAAGTTCCTCATAGATGCTGGATATTAGACATTTATCAGATTTATAGTATGCACAAATTTTCTCCTATTGTGTGGATTGTCGGTTTATTCTGTTGATAGTTTCTTTTGCTCTGCAGAAGCTCTTTAATTAGACCCACGTTGTCAATTTTTGCTTTTGCTGCAATTGCTTTTGGCGTCTTTGTCATGAAATCTTTGGCTGTGCCTATGTCCTAAATGGTATTGCCTAGGTAGTCTTCCAAGGTTTTTATACTTTTGGGTTTTACGTTTAAGTCCTTAATCCATCTTGAGTTAATTTTTGTATATGATGTAAGGAAGGGATTTGGTTTCAATCTCTTGCACTGCCTAGCCAGTTATCCTGGCACCACTTATTGAATAGGGAATCCTTTCCCCATTGCTTGTTTTGTCAGGTTTGGAGAATATCAGATAGTTGTAGGTGTGCAGTCATATTTCTGGGTTCTCTATTCTGTTCCATTAGTGTATGTGTCTGTTTTTGTACCAATACCATGCTGTTTTGGTTATTGTAGCCCTACAGTATAGTTTAAAGTTGGGTAGCGTGATACCTCTAGCTTTGTTCTTTTCGCTTAGGATTGCCTTGGCTGTTCAGGCTTTTTGATTCCATATGAATTGTAAAGTAGTTTTCTCTAGTTCTGTGAAGAATGTCAATGGTAGTTTAATAGGAATAGTATTGAATGCATGAATTGTTTTGGTCAATATACCCATTTAAACCACGTTGATTCTTCCTATCCATGAGCATGAAAAGTTTTTTCAGTTGTTTGTACCATCTCTGATTTCTTTAGCAGTGATTTGTAGTTCCTGTAGAGCTCTTTCACCTTCCTAGTTAGCTGTATTCCTAGGTATTTCATTCTTTTTTGTGGCAATTGTGAATGGGAATTCAATCCTGATTTGGCTATTGGAATGACTGTTATTGGTGTATAGGAATGCCAGTTATTTCTGGGCATTGATTTTGTATCCTGAGACTTTGCTGAAGTTTTTTATTAGCTTAACAAGCTTTTGGGCTGAGATGATGGGGTTTTCTAGATATAGGATCATGTCATCTGCTAACAGGGATAGTATGATTTCCTTTCTTCCCATTTGGATGCCCTTTATTTCTTCCTCTTGACTGATTGCCTTGGCCAGAACTTCCAATACTATGTTGAATAGGAATGGTGAGAGAGGGCATCTTGTGCTGGTTTTCAAGGGAAATGTTTCCAGCTTTTTTTGCCCATTCAGTATGATGTTGGCTGTGGGTTTGTCATATATGGCCCCTGCTATTTTGAAGTATGTTCCTTCAATACTTAGTTTATTGAGAGTTCATAACATGAATGGATATTGAATTTTATCAAAAGCCTTTTCTGCATCTATTGAGATAATCATGTGGTTTTTGTTTTTAGTTCTGTTTATGTGATGTATCAAATTTATTGATTTGTGTATGTTGAACCAACCTTGCATCCTGGGGATGAAGCTGACTTGATCATGGTGGATAACCTTCTTTTTGATGTGCTGCTGGATTTGGTTTGGCAGTATTTTGTTGAGGATTTTTGCATTGATGTTCATCAAGGATATTGGCCTGAAGTTTTGTTTTGTTTTGTTTTGTTTTATCTCTGCAAGGTTTTGGTATCAGGATAATGCTGGCCTCATAGAATGAGTTAGAGAGGAGTCCCTCCTCCTCAATATTTTGGAATACTTTAAGTAAGAATGTTACCAACTCTTCTTTGTACATCTGATAGAATTCAGGTGTGAATACGTCTGGTCCTGGGCTGTTTTTTGTTTTGTTTTGTTTTGTATGGTTGGTAAGCTATTTGTTACTGCCTCAATTTCAAAACATGTTATTGGTCTGTTCAGGGATTCAATTTCTTCCTGGTTCAGTCTTAGGAGGGTATATATGTCCAGGAATTTATCAATTTCTTCTAAATTTTCTAGTTTACATGCATAGAAGTATTCGTAATATTCTCTGATGGTTGTATATCTGTGGGGTTAGTGGTAATATCCCTCTTGTTTTTTTTATTATGTTTATTTGAATCTTCTGTCTTCTTTATTAGTGTAGTTAGCAGTTGATTTATTTTATTAATTTTTTTCAAAAATCCATCTCCTGAATTTGTGGATCTTTTGAATGGTTTTTTAATGTCTCTATCTCCTTCAGTTCAGCTCTGATTTGGGGTAATTTTTGTCTTCTGCTAGCTTTGGGATTTGTTTGCTCTTGGTTCTCTCATTCTTTCAGTTTTGATGTTTGGTTGTTAACCTGAGATCTTTCTAACTTTTTGATCTGGACATTTAGTGCTATACATTTCCATCTTAACACTGCCTTAGCTGTGTCCTAGAGATTCTGGTACGTGGTCTCTGTGTTCTCATTAGTTTCAAAGAACTTCTTGATTTCTTCCTTAATTTCATTATTTACCCAAAAGTCATTCAGAAGCAGGTTATTCAATTTTCATCTGATTGTGTGGTTTTGAATGAATTTCTTACTTTTGATTTTGTATTTGATTGTGCTGTGGTCTGAGAGACTGTTTGTTATGATTTCAGTTCTTTTGCATTTACCAAGAAGTGTTTTGCTCCTGATTATGTGATCAATTTTAGAGCAAGCACTATTTGGTGATGAGAAGAATGTATTTTCTGTTGTTTTAGGGTGGAGAGTTCTGTAGATATCTATCATGTCTATTTTATCCAGTGCTGAGTTCAGGTCCTGAATATATTTTTAAATTTTCTGTCTCGATGATCCATGAAATGTTGTTAATGGGGTGTTAAAGTCTTCCACTAGTATTGTCTGGGAGTCTAAGTCTCTTTGCAGGTCTCTAGAACTTCCTTTATAAATCTGGGTGCTGCTGGGTTGGGTGCATATATATTTAGGTTAGTTAAATCTTCTTGTTGAATTGAACCCTTTATCATTATATAATGCCCTTCTCTGTCTGTTTTTATCTTTGTTGGTTTGAAGTCAGTTTTTTTCAAAAATAAGAATTGAACCTCTGCTTTTTTCTGTTTTTCATTTCTTTTGTAGATTTCCCTCCATACCTTCATTTTGAGCCTATGTGTGCCATTGCATGTGAGATGGGTCTTTTAAAGACAGCATACCAGTGGGTCTTGGTTCTTTTTTTAGCTTGACACTCTGTGTCTTTTAATTTGGGCATTTAGCCCATTTAAATTTAAGGTTAGTATTTATATGTGTGGATTTTATCCTGTCATCATGATGTTAGCTGGTTATTTTGCAGACTTGTTTATGTGGTTGCTTTATAGTGTAAAAATATGGAATATTTCACAAATTTGTGTGTCATCCTTGCACAGTAGCCATGCTAATCTTCTCCATATTGTTCTAAACTTAGTATACATGCTGCCGAAGCAAGCACTAGATAATATGCTTCATGGTGAAAGACTGAATGCTTCTCATAAGATTGAGAACAAAGCAAGGATGTCTACTCTCACTACTATTCAGCATCATAGTGGAAATCTTAGCCAGTTCAATAAGGCAAGAAATCAAAAGAGATAAAGATTAAAGAGGAAAAATTAAAACTGTTCCTATTTGCAGATGACATTGTGGTTTACATAAAAAACCTGAAAGAATAAAAAACAAAACAAAACAATTCAGAACTCCTTAAAAAATGAGCGATTTTGGGAGAGGTTAAGAATACATTGATGAAATAGAAAGTCAATCATGTTTCTACATATTAGCAATAAACATTTGTAAGCTGAAATTTAAAAACTACCATTTCTATATACTCTAAAAAAAAAATGAAATACAGTCCCCAAGTTACCATAATTCAACTTACAATTTTCTGACTATATTACAGGCTTGTTAGGATGTGACTCTATCATAAGTTGAGGAGCTCCTTAAAACTTATAATGGGATTATGGTTTATATTGAATGTGTATCACTTTTGCGCCATCATAAAGTCAAAAGTTTGCAAGTTGAAACATAAATCAGGGACAATTGTGTTCCTAACATTAAAGGCATTTTCAATTTATGATACTTTTTACTTATGATGGGTTCATTAGGATGCAACTCCATCATAAGTCAAAAAGCAGCTGTACTTATGTGTAAATCACACAAAACCTGTACACAAATGTTTAGAACAGCTCTATTCATAATCACAAAAAACTGCAAACAACCCAAATGCCCTTTAAAAGGGATTAAAAAAACAGTGTTACAGCCATGCAATGGAATATTATTCAGCAATAAAAAGGAATGCACTATTGATAAAATAAACAACTATATGACTCTAAAAGGCTGAGTAAAAGAATCCAGTCTTAAAAGGTAACAATCTATATGATTCCATTTTATATGACATCCTCTAAAAGACAAAATGATAGTGATAGAGAATAGATCAGTGGGTGCCAGGGGTTAGAGGTAGCGGCACAGAGTGGCTACAAAGAGATTTCATGAGTGAGTCTTTTGGCTAATGTAAATGTTTTTTGTCCAGATATTGGTGGTGGTCACATGAATTAAAACGTGTTAAAAATCATAGAAATACATGTCCCCCGTAAAAAAATAAATCAATAAATAAAATCCATTTTACTGTATGTTAATCCAAAAAATAAAATTTGAAAAAGAAGAGATTAAACAAGAGGATTCTGGGAAGATGACAGAGTAGAAAGCACCATAAATACGTTTCCCCAAGAAGACAATAATTGCACTAGCAAACTCTGTGTGATGTAACTATTTTGGAACTGTAGAGTTTATTGAAGGCTTTTAACTTCCAGCGGAAGGCATGGGTGGTAAACTGTGGTTAATTTCAGCTCTTAGCACAGTAGTAGCTACCCACTCTCAGCCTTGTGGCAGTCATCTGTGCATTTTCCCTGGAACAACCTGTACATAGCTTGCAGTGCCCGGGATACGCATAAGAACTCAGCCCTCCAAATACTGAGGATCTGTGCTCAGATTGCTGATTGCTATTTCTGATCATAGAAACACAAAGAGGTGGGACGCCACTGTTGTTGCACCTTCCCACATTGTTGCAAGAGCCTCCCCCCTAGCTAAAATGACTTCCAGGAGATTTGAAGTGCTGGCACCCATTTCTTCTCCCTTCATTTTTCTCTTTTTCCTCTTTTTAGAGCCAGCCACTAAAGACTAAGATATTCAGGCCAGGTGCAGTAGCTAACACATGCAGTCTCAGCATTTTGTGAGGCCATGGCAGGAGGATCACTTGATTCCAGAAGCTCAAGACCAACCTGGGCAACATAGTGAGACCCCCATCTCTATGGAAAAAAAAAGAAAGATTCACAAGCAACTATGTATATGAGAGAGATTAGAAAGTGACTGTACATGCCCAGGGAAAGGTGCAGGCTCACAAAAGGCTTGGGAAGATCTTAGGTTTACACCTCAGGCTGATCCTTGGCACAGAGACAGAATACAACAATTAAGAAAGAAAAAAATAGCAAAAATAACGAATCCTCAGAAAGGGGGGGAATTGGATTTCCAGAATTACCACATTACTAGATTCAAATGTCTGGATTTCAACAACAAAACTGACAAAGTATACAAAAAGAGAGTAAAGTGTGACCTATTCAAAGGGGAAAAAATAAGTCAATGAAAACTGTCCCTGAAAAAGAGCAATAGGCAGACTACTAGACAACTACTTTAAAATAGCTATCTTAAAGATGCTCAAAGAACTAAAGGAAGATACGAGAAAGTCAAGAAAACAATGTGTGAATGAAATGGGAATGTCAATCAAGAGACAGAAAGCTGAAAAAGAAACCAAAAGAAATTGTGGAGTGGAAAAATATAATCACTGAAATTAAAAAATTCACTAGAGGACTTCAAAGGCAAATTTCAGAAGGCAGAAGAAAGAACCAGTTAACTTGAAGATAGGGCAATGGAAATTATTCAGTCTTGAGGAACAGAGAGAAAGGAGATTGAATAAGATTGCATAGAACCTAAGGGACCTGTAAGACACGATCAAATGGACCAACATATATATTGTGGGATTTCCAGGAGAAGAGAGACAAAAAAGGTAGAGAATATTTGAACAATTAATGGAAGAAAAACTCCCCAAATTTGCTGAAGGGCATGAATATAAATATCCAAGAAGCTCAACAAACTCCAAGTAAGATGACCTCAAAGACACCCTCACTGAGACACATTATAATCAAACTTTTGAAAGACAAAGACAAGAGAATCTTGAAAGCAACAAGAGAGAAGTGATTCAACAGATACAAGGAATCCTCAGTAATACTATGAGCAGATTTTTCATCAGAAACTTGGAGTCCAGAAGGAAGTGGGCTAATAGAGTCTAGGTGCTAAATGAAAAAAAAAAAGTCAACGAAGAATCCTATATTCAGCAAAACTATCCTTCAAAAGTGAGGCTGAAAGTAAGACGGTCCCAAATAAGCAGAAACTGAGGGAGTTTGTTACCACTAGACCTGCCCTGCAAGAAATGCTCAAGAGAGTTTTGCAGGGTACAATGAAAGAACACTAGCAGCAAGTTAATTCTCTATGAAGAAATATAGATCTCAATAAAAGTACATACATGGGCAATTATAAAAGATAATATTATTCTAACAGTTTGTAATTCCACATTTTCCCTCATGATTTCGGAGATTAATATCTTTTAAAAAATAGTCTAAAAAGTGAGTGTTACTATAATTTAGCTTTATAAGTTCACAATTTATTTTCTTCATAACCTAAGACACTAAGCATTTAAAATAATTGTTAGTTTATGTTTTGGACACAAAATGTACAAAGTTGTAATTTGTAACATCAGTAACCAAAAGAGGCAAGGATAGAGCTATTAAAGGAGTAGAGTTTTGTGTGTTATTAAAGATAAGCTTACACAAATTCACTTCAGAGTGTTATAACTTTAGGATGCTGAATGTAATCCCCATGATACCCACAAAGAAATATTTATAGAATATATACAAAAGGAATTTAAACATTTCAGTACAAAAAAGCAAATAAACACAAAAGAAGACAGTAATGCAGGAAATGAAGAGTAAGAAATTTTTGGTTTCTATAAGGCATATAGACAAAAGTATCAAAATGAAAGAAGTAAGTCCCTCCTTATCAGTAATTACTTTAAATGTGAATGGATTAAACCCTCCAATAAAAAGACAGATTAGCAGAATGAATTTTCAAAGTCCAACTATATGCTTTCCACAAAAGACTCACATTATATCCAAAAATACAAATATAATGAAAGTGAAAGGATTAAAAAATATTTTATGCAAATAAAGAAAGAGAGCAAGGGTAACTAATACTAACATCAGACACAATCAACTTTAAATCAACAAAAGGTTATAAGAGAGAGTACTACAATAGTAGTTGGATACTTTAATATTACATTCTTAATAATGTATAGAAAAACAGACAAAAGGTAAACAAGAAAACAGAGGACTTAATGCAATAAACCAAGTAGCTCTAACAGACATACAGAAGACTCTATCCAACAACAACAGCATACACATCCTTCTCAAGTGCACATGGAATATTTTCCAGGATAGGCTATATGTTAGGACACAGATTAAGTTTCAAATGATTCAAATAGATAGATATCACAAAATGTAGCTTCTTGGACCACAATAAGGTAAAGTTAGAAATCAATAGCAAAAGTAAAACTGAAATAATCACAACTTTCTGGAAATTAATAATTTTCAACAACCAATGGATCAAAGAAGAAATTACAAGGGAAATGAGAAAATACTGAAAGATGAATGAAAATAAATACACAGTATATCAAAACTTTTGGAACTCAGCAAAAGCAATGATCAGGAAAAAAATTTACAGATAAAAATGCTTACATTTAAAAACAAAACAGATGTCAAGTCAACAACCTAATTTCACAACTTACAGAAATACAAAAAGAGTAACAAAATAAAACTAAAGGTAGCAGAAAGAAGGAAATACTAAAGACTAGAGTAGAGATAAATGAAATAGATAATCAAAAACCAATAGAGAAAGTCAATAAAATCTTTAGCTAGATGGACTAAGAAGAAAAGAGAGAAGACTCAAAATATTAAAATCAGAAATGAAAGTTACTACCACTTCCATAAAAATAAAAAGTATTGTAAAAGAGTATTATCTTAAAAATTGGATAAGCTGGATCAAATGGGAAAACTCCTAGAAACACAAAATCTACCAAGACTAAATCATGAAGAAATATAAAATCTGAATAGACCTATAGCTAGTAAAGAGATTGAATCAGTAATCAAAAATCTCCTGACAAAGAAAACTCTTGGAGCTAATGGCTTCACTGGTGAATTTTACCAAACGATTAAAAACTAACAATTATTCTCAACCTATTCCAAAAATTGAAGAGGAGGCAATACTCCCTAACTCATTCTATGAGGCCAAAATTACCCTGACATCAAACCCAAAGATACTACAAGAAAAATACAGATCATATCTCTTATGAGC